CCTGCTGAAATTTATTTAATGTCAAGGAAATTACGATCGAATTTTGAATGTTATTTTAGGAACATCCATCGGATGTCCTAAGTAGTACATATTCTGGCATGTCCATGAAATGTTCCTGATGGTACATTTCTTCAAATATCTCTGCATAGACGCCCTTAATATTTCCAGGATCGTATAACAATCGAAATGTATATAGGTACATCCTTCGAATGTCCCTTAGGGATATCCATCGGATGTCCCGATTGGTACATGAACTGTACTCTTTCAATGTCCTAGAAATGACGTCCTATGGACGTCCCAGTCGGTAGTTTCAATATGTTGTCCCTGCGAGGACGTTAACTTACACCTTGCCGACGAATGATTGCTCGTAGGCTATAAGTACTCCTCGTCAATGTCCTTCACGTAAGTCCATTGGACATCCTAGGAAAACTTTGTGGGGACCTTCTACCGACCATCAACTCAGCTGGATGTCCTAATCAGTTATGCAAGATCTGGTCCTAGAGGGACCCAAAAAATTCTGAATTCGAGAATGATTTGTACGTCCCTGGGACATCCTATGGACATCCAATTAATATTCCTGAGCGTTGCTGATAGGTTGTCCTATGGATGACCTAAGGATGTCCTCTGTAGTGCTTGATGAGGAATACTGTAGGATTTAGGTATTCGATAGTTGTCCCTTGACCATTTACTCGATCACTTTATTCAGTTTTAGAAATAGAATATATTTACCTTAATAGCACACAACGTCCTAGGGACGTCCCTATTTGGTACAATTCAAGTCCGAATGTCCCGGATCAAAAATAAGTGTCCTTGGGACGTCCCATCCCGTACATCTCATGCAATGTCCGAGCAAGGACGTCCACGGAATGTCCCAGCTGGAATATCATTTCAAATGTCCTAGAAATAGCATTCCTTAGACGTCCCACGTGGTACATATTGTAGAATGTCAATGCAAGGACGTCCCTGGCATGTCCCTGATGGGATATGATTTTAAACGTTCCTTTAGGGACATCCATCGGGTGTCCCGAGTAGTACATATTCTGGCATGACTTCAAATCTTATATAATGTCCTTCTAGACAACCATGAAATGTCCCTGATAGTAAATTCCTTCAAATATCTCTGCACAGACGCCCTTCCCAGGTAACACGGAACTCTCCGCGATATTTCTGAGTAGTCATCTTCTGGATCAGAATGCGAAATCCTCCTGCGAGACGCCAAAGATCACTATAGGCTGTCACCATTGTAAATACTCTCTGGAGTCGTCCGAAAGAAATCGCGGAGATTTCGCCTCAGATTTGAAATATTTCCCATTATTGCGAATCCTTGAGGTTATCTTTAACAGGACATAAATAAGCATTTCTTTTTTAGAGCACCCAAGGATATCCTGGACGTAACAAACGAGCATCTCCCGTTGCGAGCTAAGGAGTAATCACAAACATAACCTGAATAATTAATTAATATCAATATAGAAATAATGAGTTGTTTTTTCATTCGCCTCAATGATATTATCAGTCAAAATAGATATCCATTCGACCTTCAAATACCAGGTGTTCCAATAATAAAGTTATGGTATACAGGCACCCTAACAACACAGGGATGTCCTAGGTGCGTCCCTTTTATGTCCCGCGGTACAAGGAAATGATTGGGACATCCAGGGGATGTCCCGCCAGTAGTTGTCCAGTGGACATCCCACCCGGTACATCCCTAGGTTATCCCATTCGTGTCCCTGGAATATCTGATATCCATTCTTCACATCAGAGAGTCATTCAATATCATCAAAATATTGAGTCGAATTTTTTCGAAAATGTATTTCTTCCGGAAAATAATTGTGATGAAAATAAAGAATATAGTCTCAAAACTTCTCAAGAAATGACCATTTTTCGCAAACAGAGATCGTAAATGCATAATGCCCCTCATTTTCAAACACCCAAGAATGATAATAATTATACCGGAATCCTAACAGTTTTATTTATCCAGGTTTCTGTAGTTGTCCTGTTTATAAATCTGTTCAATACATGAATCTTCAGAAGGCATATTGGCCAATGGAGTAAGGTGCGTGCCTGATAAGCTGAAGGTCCCGGGTTCAATCCCAACTAGACCTACTTTTTTTTTCTTTTGTCGAAGGGATGTCCCTGGGATATCCTTGGGACGTCCTAGGGATATCCCTTCTTTGTACTCGGTACATCCCAGGGACGTACCAGGAGGGACATCCCTTGGATGTCCTTTTTGTCTGAAAGCGGATATGTCCCTGGGACGTCCCTAGTATGTACTTTGTCCCAGAAAAGATATCCCTGGGATGTCCTTATTCGAAATTAGGGACGTCCCTGGGAAGTCCCTAGGATGTACTCGTGTTGTTAGGGCAATACCTCGCCTATTTCTCAGAATATTAAAAAAATTTAAAAACTGCATCGAATGACATTAAATAACCTTCCTAATGGTTTATGAAGAATGTGATATATTTGGCAGCCCCCTGATGGTGAATAGTATTCAGTTTTTTTTTTCAAATGGCATATATTGTCTTCGAAAATTGGGTGTCAATCTATTTTGGAATACAACGATATATAGCACATACTTGGTGGTTTGTTCATTGATAACAACAAGACATGAATATTTTGTTACTTCTTTCACGATACTCAACTAAAAAATTGTTTTCACTTATGTATCAAAAAAGTTCACAGATAAGAAGTATGGATTGAATTCTTGTTTCGAAAAATTAATAATTTTACCTAGATAGAGTGTAATAATTATCAATCTACTTTTATTGTGTGGAATTTTTACAAACATGGGAGGAGGTAATTTTCAATCGATGTAACGTAATGAGGTCAAAAAATGGTGATGTTTTTGTTGTTATTAATGAACAAAATACAAAGTACCGATGTGCTATCGTTCTTTTCCAAAATAGAGAATGACAGGCAATTTTCAATGACAATAAAGGGTGTCCGGAAATTATGCGCAAAAAATCAAGGGGGTGATTTATTTCATATATACTTGAGTCCGGAAATGCATAGTTTTCAAGATACAGTGTGTTAAACTTTTTAGAAAAAATCGTTTTTTTATGAATATCTTGAATATTCTTTCACCAATTCTCTTGAACTTTGGTTATGATTATTATGATTTAGCCATTTTTGAATTAGAATTGTGAAATCCAGTGGCGTCCCGGGGGCACCCTACCGAATATTTTTGTCAATAAAATGTGCGCCCCTGATTTTTTTAAATTCTCCAGCTCCATATCAGACATACAACATTTTGGTCTCTTGAATTGTTTTGCAATCTTGCTGCGTTTCCGTGGAAAAAAATGAATACCAATTCATTGTATAAATTTGTGCAAAACATTGTTTCAGAAACAGGTGTGGAATTAAATGTGTTATCCATGTCCATAGACGTAGAATAAGAATTAAGATTGATTTTCTTCAAATATTTCATGATACATAATTGACACACTTTGTATCATCGAAAACTACGCCTTCCTGGACCGAGAATACATAATTCTGAATATACAGAGTGTATAGAGTGTGTCAAACATGTATCAAGGAATATTTGAAGAAAATGAATCTTCATACTCACATTCTCTATCTATGGACATTGATGCCGCATTTATTTTCACCTCAGTTTTTGAAGGAATTTTTTGTCACTTTATGCAATAAATTGGTAATTATTTTTTTACATAGAAATGGAGCAAATTATCAAAATAATTCAAGAACCCAAAATATTGTATTTTTAGTTGGTCAATAGGTTTTGAAGATACAGAATTCAAAAAAATCAGTGACGCACATTTTATTGACAATAATATTCGGTAGAATGCCCCCCGGGACGCCACTGGATCTTATAATTCCAATTGAATTATGGCTATATCAGCCCCTCATGACAAAGAATATAATTGCCAGATTTCAAGAAAATTGGTAGAAGGACATTTGAGATATTCATAAAAAACCGATCTTGTTTGAAAGTTTCAACACACTGTATGTTGAAAACTATGCATTTCCGGACCCACCTACATATAAAAAGAATTTCTTATTTCATCATGTAGAATCACCCTCTTGGTTTTTTGCGCATAATTTCCGGACACCCTGTATACAGGGTCTATTCAATAAAAATTGAGGGGTTGCTAAAAGGAGGCTGTCTATTCGTATACAATTATCTTATGAGGAAAGTACTTTGATGTCATTTGAAGCAATTTTCACTATTTTTTGATCATCTTGTCAAATAAGCCAGTTTTTGCCTGTACCTATACGATAACTTGAGACATGAAATGGAAAAACAAAAATTGCGATATTTCATCACAGTATCAATGGGTAATTTATTATGATTGTATACTAGATCCTACTTCATCCTCTTACTGTCTCAGAGAATTCGTTCAACAGGTCATATTATTATCTGCCTGCCATCATGAAAGATAATTTCAAATTCTGCAGTTGATTAATGATAAATATCTGCTCTGACGGAATAGACAAAAAAGTTTTAATTCAGGTGGGATCGAGAATCAAATATCAAATTTGTGGGTAGATATCGGACCAACTGAAATTTGAAACAGAAATATCTTGTAATATATGCGGTTTTATCGCATGTGGCACGAGATTCACAACATACTAAAGTATTGTCGCCAACGGGACCGATGCATGACGCGGTAGATTTGAATTTTTCACCTGGTTTTTCCACCATCACCCCCTGGTCTTATTCCCCCCACGTCCCCTAATCAATATTTTCTGCCCCTTGAAGAAAATTTAAAATTAATAACGTATTATATTCCACTGTGCTTGCACGGTTTTTATTGCGGCGTCTCTTTTCCACCCATGTTAAAGAGATAGGTACGACTGTATTATTCTTGGTTGCATAGTGATCTGTCACGTGGTTCTCAATCTTTGTTGAAGATCCGGTACAATTTCAATTAATGACCTGTGATAATGAATGAGGCAATAGGTAGTTATTCTCTATCAGTTTATTTTTTGTAGGTCAAAATAACATAATTAGAAACCTAATCACCTGAAGAATCACATTCACACTACACCAGTTCATCTAAACCAGGCCTCTGCCTGAAAGTATAATACTTTTTATTTGTGTAAGTCCTCTGTTCCCCTTGCTGTCCTCTGAATCTTGGTTGCTGCTGATTTCCCCAAGAGTTCTGCCTATTATTCATCATCTGAGGTGGCATGATTTCTTGACATAATTGTTCATCAAGTGTCTGAAAAGGAAATTTTAGAATTCGATTCTGGGTCAAAGGAAATGGGGTGGTAGAGGAGGTCATTTGCAATCAAACTAATCGTATATGTGGTTATCTATATGTCGATGGTTCAAAAGTTATTCAATTTTTAAGAAAAACGACCCATTTGAAAACAATTGAATACAAAAAGGCTGTTTTTGATAACCCCGTATATATGTTATACCATTCTGGAATCTGTATTTAAATGGGCAACTTTTTCTTATAGTTATCTATCTTTGTGGGGTAGTTTTTCAATCTGCCAGCGGCATCAAAAAAGCAACTGAATTGAATATTTAATTCAACAAAACTTGAGGAAAACAAGCCATGAAAATTATTCCTGCAGAATGGTACATCTATGCGGATGAAATTTTTAAAAGAAAAAATTACAAATGTGACATAGTTTTATTGTAATCAATTTTTTATAGAAATGGAAGAAATTAAATTAAAAATTGTATTATCACATATACGGTTAGTTTGATTGGAAATAACCACCACTATCACCCCACTTCTTTTGATCCATGACTTATGGGACACCTTGTATAATATTCAATTTTATTAAAAAAAAGTATTATTGGCCTTTCTTAATTATTGAATGGTGATCCATTCGAAAATAAAGAAAAATTGTGATATACATCTACCTTTTTGGTAGATATTTAGAATGTTTTCATATCTCAAAACAATATACCTTTCTGGGCAATCTACATTCAAATGGGGAGATATCTGATTCTAATTGTAAGTGAATCAATTAATTCTTATTTTTGAGTTAATAAATTTTTTGATTATTATTATAAATATTATTCAATATGCCTAATATCCATTTATTATCCAATATTTATTATTAGTGTGAATAAAATATATATATTCATACCGTATCTGATATATGCCCTAGCTTCAGGAACATTTGTTCAATTCTGTTGAATTCTACAGCAACTTCCGGATTGTCTAGTTTTGTTACTGCATTCCTAACTCTATCAATAACCTCTTTGTTGAATGTATGCCTAACGTTAGATGGAGCATCTTCTGACATCACACTTTTCAGCAATGGAATTGCATTCTCCACTCTACCGACTTCTGCTAAACAGGCCACCTAGAAGAAAAAGCAGAGGCATATTTTCCTAAGCATTGAAATACCTAGGGAATGTGAGGAAAGTTATGAAAAAAACGAATGTGAACGTACTGCACTAACAAGATAAATAGGTACAACACCTACCAATTTCAATTCGACTCAGTATACACAATGATAAAAAAAATGTAAATAAGACATAAATGATAAAATCATGAAGGAATATTCTTGTCAGGAAGATATTCTTGTTTGAGTGATGTAATTTCCAATATTTTAAAATTGGAATGATCAATATTGTCAATGAATTCGATAAACAAATGACAATCAGGAGATAATTACCCACCGTTGGTCAATTAGAAACTATTTCTGGAAAAAATATTCAGTTTTTAATTGAACCTAGAGTATGTGGTTATAGGTAAGAATATTTAAGACCGAAATATTGTTATAATAGTACTAGGATGAGATTACGATAAATAAAATACGAAATATCGACTTTAGTTACGCGAAATAATAATATGGCAGCTGGTGGTAGTTCAAATCATTATTCTTGACTAACTTTATTTCACTAAAGTTGGAGGTAATATATTTTTTCACAACGAACTCGAAGCATTATCTAGTATTAATACAATTTAAATGCGACATTGTTAGGTTAAATAAAACAATAATTATTCTAATATGGCAGCTGGTGGTAGTTCAAATCATTATTCTTGACTAACTTTATTTCACTAAAGTTGGAGGTAATATATTTTTTCACAACGAACTCGAAGCATTATCTAGTATTAATACAATTTAAATGCGACATTGTTAGGTTAAATAAAACAATAATTATTCTACATCAGTTACACAAAATAATAAAAAATGAGCCGATAATAGCTCAATTTCTCGGTTTCTTACAAATTCATATAGCTTAAAGCTGGTAGAAATATATTTCTTCTCATTTTGACGTGTAATGTGACACTTTTCAAAACTGACGGAAGTTTTGAAACGTCTTACTTAACGTAACCAGTTGTGTGATGTTCATTTCAACAGCAGTTACGTAATAAAAATATGGATGGACGAGACATTTTATGCTGGTTCCTCGTATTACTAGGAAAATCTGAACTTGAATTATTAGCCAAGTATCGAATGAGTGTATTCATTATTCATTATTGTTTGACGAATACTTCAAAGTGACGGGCGAAGGCAACTCGCCTTTTTTCATTGCATCCCCGATATTTTGAATTGAAACATCGGAAGTAGATGTGGAACCTTCGTCTCATGATCGCCTTTGAGTGGCTATAACACCCTTAGAGCCCATTTCTGAACCCATATGTTTATATTAACTTTTGTTGCTACATAGATTCTTCAGTTAAAATATTTCTATGTTATTTGGAGACACCCCTGTATATTCAATCATCCTCCATATTTGTATATCTATACAATGTGTCTCTAATGGGTCCCATTTCAACCCGCCTCGTAGTTCAAAGTATAGAAGGTGATTCCAAGAAATTGTTTAAAGGATGTAGTAGGTATTCGACGATACCTATCTTGTGGTGTATGAATTATTCTCAAAATATCATGTCATTAAGTTGCCAAAATAGCGAAGTGGTTGAGGCGCTCGACTAATGATCAGATAATCGAAAGATGCTTCCGCAGGATTTTCTGTTGCGCTCCAATTGATAGTCCTGCTCCTAAGGTGGCGTATGGAGTCAGTAATAAAGCCTGAACAGAAAATACATCGACTGAAGAAACTCTTGCAAGGTCGTCATCCAAAATAGTACATATTAGAATACTACTACTACTATCATGCCATGGCCAAATGTGATGAAAAATTACCTTCAGAAATGAATTAGGTCCATCAGGATTTTTTCCCTAGAACACTAATATAAAGGATAAGTTCTCTTTACGAATTAATAATACTCAATGAGAGGAAGTAGTAAGAATGAGTTGTTTTGAAAAAAAAAAAAAGGGAAATATCGAAAATAAATGGGGCATTTTGGGATTGAATACTGTGAGTGAATTGAAAGCTGACATGTTAACAATCATAAGATTCAAATATACAAGGCATTCACCATAGTCGTATCTTGAATTAAAAGATGAATCAGAAGAATCATCAAACATTACTTCTGCTATTTCAAGGCAGCACAGTGTATGGTTTCATATAATGAATAACATGAGTAATAACAGTGAAAGAACTATAGGTCACCACAAAATAAAAAATAATTGAAATTACCTCCATTATAAACATGGGCGCCGCCACAAACGGCCCTCCATGCTGTAGTGCGAAGGATCGAAAGGACATTAGAATCCAAAGAGGTAACGCTGGGGGTGTTCTTCGACATAGAGGGGGCCTTCGATAAGGCAAGGACAGACACTATACAGGCAGCACTACAGGCCAGAGGAACTCCTCTGGCAATGGTCAGCTGGGTAGTGTCGTCACTGATTAGTAGAAAGGTAGAAGTAGTTCAGGGAGACCATAGACTGAGTACGGTGGTCGATGGGGGCTGTCCTCAGGGAAGTTGCCTCTCTCCCCACCTATGGTGCTTGGTCATGGATGAACTCCTGTGCAAGCTCACCCAAGAAGGTTTCGAGGCGCAGGCATACGCAGACGACGGATTGGTTCTGGTGAGCGGCCGATTCCTAGGGGTTGTCTGTGAGCGTATGCAGGTAGCCTGCAGGATAATCGAAAGATGGTGTGATGAAGCGGGGCTCTCTGTGAATCCGACAAAAACAGAGATGATCCTATTCACCAACCGAAGAAAAAGGGACGGGTTTAAACCACCTATTATGTTTGGCCAAGAGTTGGAGTTAGTCCAACAGGTCAAATACCTAGGTGTCGTCTTGGACCCAAGACTCTCATGGAGGCAACACGTAGATAGGATCGTGCAAAAGTCGGTGGCAATTCTTTGGCAACTAAGGAGGGTCGTTGGGAGAACTTGGGGTATTAACCCCGAGATCATGCGCTGGCTATACACAGCGGTCGTAAGACCAAAGATTCAGTATGGATCAGCTGTGTGGTGGCCAGGTGCAGAAACCAGCACAATCAGTCGAAAGCTCAGTAAAGTTCAGAGGATGGCCTGCCTGGCGATCACAGGAGCAATGAGGACGACGCCAACTGCAACGCTGGAGGTACTGCTGGGGCTGCCGCCGCTTCCAATCTGGATTAAGAGGGAAGCAATGGCGGCCTATCTGAGGATGCGGGACTCTGGGAGTTGGGCTAACGGAGGAGCAGTGACAGGTCACGCGGAAATTGCGACATGGGTGGAGCAGGAGATCCCTATCTCCACCCTAAGAGTGAAGAACGCCCAAAATAGGCTGAGATGGAAAAGAAGGTTCACCCTCACTATTCCAAGCAGGGAACAATGGGAAGAGAGCAGAGTGGAATTCCGCCCGGGGAGTCTAGTATGTTATACGGACGGATCGCGCCTAACTGACAAACAGGACTCAGGCGCAGGAATTTACCTAGAAGGATTAGGCATAAGGGAGAGCTACGCTCTTGGAAAGTATACCACAGTTTTCCAGGCCGAGGTCTTTGCCATTCTGGCAGTAGCGGAGAGGCATGAGGTGAAAGAGGGACCAGAGCTGAAGATCTGCTCGGATAGTCAGGCGGCTCTCAGGGCTGTCTGCCATCCTAAACCAAGCTCAGCCTTGGTGCAGGAATGTGGCGATGCTCTTGAGAAACTAGCTGAACAGAAGGAAGTCGAACTAGTATGGGTTCCGGGGCACAGGGGGGTGCTTGGGAACGAGGTGGCCGACGAGCTGGCTAGAATCGGATCCGCGACACCGTTCTGGGGGCCGGAGCCTGCACTGGGCATAACAAGAAGCCAAACTTCGTCTGCCCTTAACAAATGGGCGGACGAGGCACTAGAAGTATATTGGAGGCGTATAGGCGGCTGCAGGCAATCGAGAGACCTGGTGGCCGGTCCAAGCAAGCCAAGGACGGCTTGGTTGCTGGGCAGGGATCGCCAAGTCCTGCGCCTTCTTATAGGGATACTGACAGGGCATAACAGGTTACGCAGACACCTATCACTCATAGGTGTGGAAGATAGTCCCACTTGCCGTGAATGCGGAGAAGATGAGGAGACATCACTTCACTTCCTCGGAGAGTGTGAGGCGTATGGAAGGATGATATCCGAAATCTTTGGAGTAGATAAACTACAACAGGAAGATTTGGTCTAATTAGAGTGGACGGACATCCTGACCTTCATCAGAAGGACGGGAAGGTTCGAAAAGGACAACTAAAAGAGGGATGTGTAGATATGTGGAGAGCAGGGGTTGGCAAAAAGGGCCCATGGGGGCCTACTTGCCTGGCTACAGCCTCCCCACAATACTACTACTACTACTGGGCGCCGCCACTTGAGGGCAAGGGAGGGGGACGCAGCCTCCCCCCTGGAATTCAGCCTTTTCAGTCTAGACGCGATATTTTGGTGAAAAAATATTGTTTGATTCATATTTTCGTTACTAACACATGCCTATCGCTATATATTTATTAAATAGGTAAGTACATAAACAGGGTCTTTCGGAGTTGCGGTGAAAAAATTTCAGGGGAGCTTGCTCTCATCGAAATATAAAAAAATTCATATGAACATGGGACCGAAAATGCTTCGTTTCCGTGTTGAAAAAAATGTGTTTTTCATCAATATCTTGAAAACGCTTGAGACGATTCGAATGGCATTTTCATGGTTCATTCACACAATTTTCAGACATTTACTGGACCAATTAGATTTGATTGAGGAGCGTACCCACCGAACAAGTCGGGTTTTTTTTATGAAAAAAATACTGCTTTTTTTCGCGTTTTTCTTGGATATTCAGATAAACTCACATTTCTGTCTCTTGCTATTTTCCCGTATCTTGCTTCTTTTCCGATAAAAACGGACGATTCCATACCTCCACATATCTTTTAACTCCATGAGGAAAAATTATTCAAAAATTCATTTCACATTATTATTCATGAAAACAGAGAAGTCATAAAATTCAATACCCTCTCTAAAATGTATACGATCTTCAAATTTCGAGAGAAATATTACTTCAAGATATTAATGAAG